TATGGACTACTGGAATATATTGGATTATTTTGCTGAATTCACACACCTAAAATATTTGAATGGCAATGGAATACCCATCTCTGACAAAACTAAACAAAAAAGGGATATAAATGAAGGACCATTTTGTAGTGAAAATATATATATATATTATGTATATACAAAATAGGATAGATATACAGCTAGTTTCTCTTAGTTCAATGAGAAGAAAGATTTGTACTAATAGTGTTTAAATAAGATATCATGTCTGCATCTTATACTGTGAATAACTATTATGAAGACAACAATATGTAATGTATTAACTATTGTAACTGTCCTACTGTTTTGAAACTGTCTCATTGCTATTTCTTTCTCAATAAAATTAATTAAAAAATAAAAGAGTACACAGCCCCTGTACCCATCACAAAAAGTGAAACCTGACCTCTGCCCAGGTACTTCCTGAGCTGAGACCCACCCCCAGCCCCTGAAATCACCTGTTAACGATGTTGTTGAGCCGGCTGGCTTGGGGGATGGTGGAGTCCTCCCCGCTGGCGCTGAGCTTAGTTGGGGACTGGAGGTCAAGGTTCTCAGGCTCCATGGACGGCTGGCAGGCAGGTGGGGCAGCGTAGGCTCTCGGGGAGAGGCGGCCCAGGTCTGCCTGTTCAGGCCCCTCTGGCTTGGTGTTCTGGTTGAGACTGTTGAGCACAATGAACTTGTATTTCTTCCAGTTGCAGGCTTTAGGGTCAGTCGGGCTCTTGGCTGGTGGGGAACCAGAGGCCTGAAGAATGCAGGCGTTCTTGCTGCTGCAGGACTCCGTGGGTGAGTTGGGCTGGCAGTCAGATTTCTGGGGGCTCTGTGGACTAACCAGACCCTTCCGGTTGAGGGGAGCATTGGGGGGCTCAAAATGCAGGGCAATCTCATCCTCTGAAGAAGGTCTTTCTTCTTCTTTGCTGGCCTTGTCACAGGAGAAGTATGGGGTGTTCCTGACTGAGGGTGCAGCAGGCTTGGGGCCTTCAGCCACACGGTAGTGCATATCACCTCGTGCCTCCTCTGGGACCGCCTCCTTGGGTGAGTAGAGGCTGCTGTGGCACAGGCTGGGAGACACCTCCAGGGCTGGCCGGCTGTACTCACTAGGGACTGGCCGGGCGCTATCGCAAGGGAGAGCACGCTCCTTGGGGAAGGGATTGGCCACAGGCATTCGTGCATCTCGCAGCTCCTCATCAGAGAAGAGGAAGGGGCTGACCGGAAGGTGACTGTACATGGGGTAAGAGGCTGGCGGTGTGGACAGGCCACCATACAGGCTAGGAGCGAAAGCTCTGCTCTCACACCCGGGGGTGTTCCTCAGCGGTAGGTTGTTCTCCACCACTTCCCGGCCCCGGTAAGCCATGATGTCTTGGGGCATCAGCATCCGGCTGTTCAGAAACTCTTCCCGAGATGGTTTGATGGCAGGAACCATCTCTGCTTCACTGAGGGAGCAAAAAAACACCGGGCACAAACTCAGAACTGTTAAGCAGATGACCTGCCAGGGACACTGTTATGTAATCACATCTACGCTTGAGTCAGCTAGATGGAAGGGATGTGGCTTTGGAACAGGGAACACCAAGAGAAGACATACACATAGAGGGCCAGAGATTTAGCTTAAGTGGTGGGAAGCCGAGGCCCAGAGAAGGGGTGAATTGTCTAATCTGTGGCTGTTTGGACATGATTTTTTGAGTTTAAGGCACACGTATTCATGTCCGTGAACCTGTAACTCTTCTGGTGTTAGAGAATTTAGTGGCTTCCATGGCGCTTTTGAAGCCCTTATCTCTGGTCAGGTATGCAAAAATCCGGCAAGGAAGGAAAGGAAGGAATTTTACACTCACAGAAGGGAGGGAAGAATTTACACAGTGCTACAATATACTTTCAGAGGATCATAAATAAACCAGTTCCCAATTAAAAAGAGAACCTGCCCCATATGCTAGATGGATTCATAGGGAAGTTTATGGTGGAGAGCAGGCGATAAGTGCCAGTGCAAGATGCCATGGTGTATAAACCCATCTGCGGTATTTAACGTCACGTTATTTAACCACTCTGAGCACAGGCCTGGCCTGCAGAGTCTGACAGCAGTGATGATCTCAGTACCATTATCATCCCCACAGGGGACAAAAGGCTCTGGCTATAGACACTTGAAGGGACATCATTATGTGGAGGAAAACTAGGCCAGCTCAACATGAGCACAGTGACCAGAGCTAGAACTGGTGAGCAAAAGCCAACAGAGCCTAATTTCAACTTGCCACAAAGAGGAGTTGGCCAGCTATCCAAGGTGGACTCTGCCCGACTCTGGGAACACCGAGTTCTGGGCGCAGATCAAACACAGCCTGGAAAAGCCCTCTGGAATACAAGGGTGTCACCTCCCTAGAGCAGCTGGGTCAAATGGGCCAGAAGAAATGAAGCCCTGAGTCTCCATCCCACTCCACACAGCTCTTTCCTTCTTTGTCTTGTGGTTTCTTCACCTTCCAATGAGGATTATGTCTTCCCTTCCCTTAGACCTAGTGACTCACTTAACTCACTATGTGTCTTCCCTAAATAGCAGCAAGGAATGTGAGAGAAGAGTAAGCAAGTGAACCAGGGACCAAGGCATGTGCATAGAAGGTTGTGACAGAAATCTAAATGAAAACAAAAACATACATGTGCAAATAGTAAAAGACAAAGAAGGCATAAGAGTAAGCAGAGTGCTTCAGAACACAGCGGAAAGGCTGGCAAAGGAAGGGCAGTGATCAGAAGAACTGCTGCATAAAGGAACTAGTGTCCAGTCTTGGTTGTGCAGGATGATGGGCGAGAAGAAGGGGCAGGTTTCAGGCAGAGAACAAGAGGTGGTAGTGATAGGATGTATCTGGGCCACTGGAGGAGTTAAGTTTGCCCAGAAGGCAAGAGTGAGGAAGAGCAGGACGGTGCAGTAACAGTGGAGTGCAGTGCAGGTTGTGGTACAGTGGGAAGAACTGTATTTTCCCATACGCACGAGGCATCAAGGATTTCTCATCTAGAATCATCCCTTCTGCCTCCACCTCCTCCACCTAGGGGCGGCTCACCTGGCCTTGATAAACTTGCGGCAAGTGTCCACGACGTGCTCCATCTGCAGGTACATCGCGGTGGCCATCACGGCCATGATGTTGCCCTCCCGAAGGTTGAGCCGAGATGTGTACATGAAATCTAAGAGGATGCAGAACCCCTCGGGGTTGATCTCCGGATCCAGGTTGATCACACTAAGGTTGCACTTCAGCTGGTCTGTGAAGATGCTATAGAACAGGCCGCTGTAAAACAAACACATGGTAGACATATCAAATTCATGAGCATGTACAGCGGCTCAATTCATTTCCCAGCACCACCTTCCAGTATGTCCATAGAAATTAATAGTACCTTTTGTTTATGGAACACGGACCAAATGCCAGAAATTCCCTAAGTGCTTTATGTATGCTATCATCCTGAGTTTCTATGAGATAGGCACTGCCACTCTCCACTTTTTTATGTTGGACAACTAAGATCTCAGAGGGCAAGTAATATTCTCAAAGTCATTGAGCCTGTTTTCCTTTTGGTCTTAACTGCATGGATTGGTAGAGTTAAATTTAGCACACATTTGCAGTAACTGTTCTTAGCCTGTATTTTTGGTCTAAGTATTTCCCTCCTTGTTATAATGCATTACCCTTCTCTTTAGAAACAAAATTTTTAGAAGTAAGTTGGACATAATTCTCAAGTAAATAAAAATATGCATATAACTATACTTTATTGGTTTTCTCCAAGTCCGTTGACTATCAGAAGGCCAACTAGTCCTACTCAAGTCCAGTAAAACCTTAATGCATGCTCCTAAGTACCAGGTTGTCTAGTAGAAGAAAGTACTCAACTGAAGCTAAATTTCCAGGCTGGCAACACACTTCTGCTCACACTGGATGCATTACCAAGTATGGGGCAGACTTTCATCAGTAAGTGGCTGTGCAACCCTGGCTAAGATACTTCACCGTATCTCGATTTCCTGACCTGCAAATTAGCAGCAAGGACAGTGTGAGCTTTGTAGGGCTGTGGCAACCATGGACATGTTAGCAGCAGGGAGGGCGCCTGGCATACACTGAGCACTTGCCAAACATTAGCTACAATTTTCATGTCCCTCTCCACCTCACCATTACTTCAAAGAATGTATTTGTAGAAGTTGGATTCTCCCAGCCATGGCAGGGGTCTGACATTCTCTACCATTTTACCTGTGCCTTGCTTTTACCACCCATGATGTGGAGGTACAGCACAGCTAGAGGGAGGAGGGCTCCTGGAAGATGTACAGGGCTGACTTAATGTAATGTGGTTCTGAAAACTTGAAGGCCTTGTCAAAAACAAAGCCTTGACTCTCTCACTCTTAATGTATTCTGAACACCCATGGACATAGTTACAATGTAAAATAAATAAATTTATAACATAAAAAAGCAAAATAAATCTCAGATTAATTTGCTTAATCTAGTTAAAGATTCTCTTTTTCTTCTCCTCTCTCTCTCTCTCTCTCTCTCTCTCTCTCTCTCTCTCTCTCTCTGAAACTGACTAACTGAAGCCATTCTCTGTTTGGTCCCAACACATCCTTCCTTGTGGCAGCATATCACTTCTTGCCCTACTACATCCACAGAACAGAAATGCCTTCCTTTCTAACAGTGTATTCAGCCATTAGCTTCCTGGGAGTGACAATGTCAGGTCATGTGCTGAGAGCTGGAGACAAGGAGGACATCGCCCCAGTGGTGGCAGAAGGCCTGGGACCTGTCCTACCTTGCCAGCTGCTGCCAGCACTTCATTCCCATCTTAGCAGCCATCCATCCTTCCTTTCCAGGCTGCTCACCTGCAGGCCATGAGGACTGTCTTATGGGCTCTGAATTGTTCCCGGCTGACCACAATGACAACGTCAGTCAAGATGTCTCGGCTCCGGAGGCGATTGAGGTTGAGAAGAACGTCGCTGGCATGACGGGTGAACTGGATACAGCTGTCAGCCGGTGAGGCCATTTTGTCTTCACCTGAACAAACGAAGTCACATTCCTGTTAGTCTCAGGATCTGCCCTTACAGGAGGACCAAGCAGGTGGCTCATGCTGTTAAGGTATGGCAAGAGTTCAGGTCCCTTGTGCTTGATTGTTGAACAACTCATAACCTATCTCTGGGTATTACTCTTCATAGCTGGGCTTTGGCCAGCTGAGTGACTGGGGCCAGGCTGTTTTTGGTTTCTGGGTTTTGGTTTTCCAAATGGAGGACAATTATAGCTCTATTTGTTGTTTTAAAAATTACAGATCGGTGCTTAGATTATAATAGGTCACCAAAAAAAGTTATAACTATTTTCATCAAAATCTAATTCCATTATCCCGGCCACAAACTGTATTTCTCCATTATTTGGCTTCAGAGTTGTTTTGCTCTGTGCCTGCAATTCCTAGCACCAGTGCATCCTTAAAGCATGGTAGTGGCAAGGGTGGTCTGAATAATGAAATGAGTTAGGGAATTGCTGACCGTAAAAGGGACAGAGAAAAAGGTCAAGGGGCTGGAAGACATATAGAGGGACTCGCTAATCTTTGTCCCTTCAAACAACAGATAGCAAAGTTCACAGAAACACATGCATTAGCAAAATTAAAAAGGAACAGTTTGTCCACAGAACTTTAAAGCATGTAATTAAACCTACTTACCACCCAATGCCTTGCTTCACAGTCCAAAATTTTGCTTAAAAACTGCAAAGAGAGCAAACAGAAGCGGATTTAATGAATGTAAGATTGTCCACTACAGTCTTATTTTAGGACAAACTACTCAGCTTTGCTCAGAAGCTGCAGCCTGCCAGCTGGTGTGGTCTCACCCCACACGGGCACACACACTCCGATCCTGGTCTTACAGCAACATCGAGCACCCAAAGCCATGTGCCACCAGTATCTTCCCCTGAGCATCGAGAATACCACTGCACACATTAGCTACATGTACATACACATTTCCTTTTCAAGGTAAAGTGTTTACACCATCCCAAGGCCACTTGAATTTCTGGGAAAGAAACAATAAAAAAAGTAGATCTTTCAAAATCAATGACAATGATCCTTCAGGGGCTGAAAAACACTGGCTACTACCCAAAACCTGCTAACATATTGTCTTTCAAGTCTTAGCATGATTACATGAGACTGATAGACTCAGTATCTTGATCCTTATTTCACTAGTGACGAAACTGACCCTGGAGTTCAAGTGGGTTGGCTAGGACAAGCAGCTAGACAGTATTTCTTGATTCTCTTGAACACTTAAGACACAATACAGAGTCTGCAGAATGCAAGCCGAGACTTCACATTCCTTGAGGATCTCTGCCCTCTTTTTTTAGTTCCCTCTGCCTTCCCTCCTGGGTCTAAGACCAGACCGAGTGCTACAGCTTCCAAGTTTGTGCTTCTGCCTCTGGATGAAAGATATAACTGTGTGGTATAGCTGAGAACTGGCCAGAGAGTGCTAAACCTTAAAAAGATTTAATGAAATGTGTACTCTTTCCAAATTGGCTTCTCTAAAACAATAACAACGCAAGGCATTGGTGTGAGGCTCTCCCTTCTCACCCAATGTGGGCTATAAAGGAAAACCATATGATAGCAGAACTCTCTCTGCTCACTTGAAGAAGAGTAGCTCTTTAGAGCTCTTTTCCGGGGAAAAGAGCCTGAGGCCAGTGAGGTCATGTTGGGTCGCATAGATGGTTGATGGCCTGGCCCTAGGTCTACTGGCTGAAATTCTTGTCCTCTATCCAAATTGGCCTACGTGCTGCAGAACACATAAGGCAGCACCCTGAGGTGGGTGAATCTCATTTTTAAGTTCCTTTCCCCTACACAAATACTTTGCTCCATTCCAGGCTGCTGCGTCTGACCAAGTGAGCGCTCTAAAAAATGACAGATTTCTTTCAGTCTGTAACCAAACACACTGACATTTCTCTGTGGTCCCAAGTGCCAGTCCTTCAATCTTAGAGGCCTCAAGGTTAGTATGTGCATGTGACTGGACAAGGGTTGGGGTAAGGGCAGGACAGAAGAGGCTCTGTCCTCCTCCCTTCCCCATCCTAAAGGAAGAGAAGGAAAGAGCATACTAATGTGGTCCTACCCTCAGCTCTTTGATCATCTCCTTTGAAAAAGAATGTTGAAGACCCATGAAGTTTATTTAGAAACCCTCTCCTCCTCTTCCTTCATGGAAGAGGTCCTCAAACATTTCTGGAATAACCAGGCTGTCCTTCAATCAGCTTTCAACCACCAGCTGTCTTGTGGATTTCCAGTTCCAGACTTCTGGAACCACAGGAAGCCGAGATTTGCCATTTCACCATGACAAGTGGCAATGACTCACTGCAGATGCCAATCAGGACAAACAAAACAGTTCCCCTGCGTCCACTGTTAGCTCAGACTAGGGCTTTCACCTTAAGCCTCTACTTGGCCTGGATAAAAGGAAATGCAATGCACACAGTGGGCTGCATCCTTATGATTTGTAAATTCCCCCTGAGGTTGCAGATGTGGAAGCACCCTTGAAATTTGGAATGGGTTCTTTTCACAGACCACTGATCTCTCCTACCCGTTACTGTTTCTTAAGGACAGCCTTGATTTACCATAGAGAACATTAGAAATAAGTATTTCCCAAGATCTTTAACAAAACCTTGGGCAAACCTCATCTACTAGCAGTAGTGTTGTCAATGGCACTCACAAGATCCAACCCACAGATGCAACCAAGAGAACAGAACCCTCATTGAGAAACTAAAACCTGAAGGCCTGGATAGCTCAGTAGAATAAGCCCTTGCCTGGCAAGTGCAGGGTCCTGAGTTCAATCCCCAGTACCATGAAAGAGAGAGAGAGAGAGAGAGAGAGAGAGAGAGAGAGAGAGAGAGAGAGAGAAACTAAAACCTGCAGGGGACAGACTTGGACCCGACTCCCCAGTCCCCCTCCCTTGGCTGCCCGTACTACCTAGGAAGAGCGAGACTTGGTTTAATGGGATCCCCCAACCCCTTCCTCCTTCGGAGCTTTCCTCGAATATGTAGGGTGAAGCCAGCACCCTGAGAGTGAAAAGGGGGCTTCTCCTGGGAGAAGAAGAAAGGAAGTCTCCCCGACCCTCCAAAAAAGGCAAAGAGAGAAAACAGCAGAAGTGAAAGGGAGCGCGAGCACCGAGGAGAGGCGAGGTTAGAGTAAGCGAGCGAGCCTTTCCCTCCCTCCTCCCCTGGGCTGGGACTAGCAGCGCTCTGCTCTGCGCTTGCTCGCTGCGCACGGCCGCACAGCCCGAGTGCGGGAGCGGGAGCGGCGGGCGCTGCCAGGCTGTGCACACTCGCCCACCCCAGCACACCGTACCTGTCTTCCAGGCACCGCCCACCCCCAGGCGATCGGCTGGTACCGTGGGCACCGTTGCCCACCCGCGTCAAAGCCCCCGAAGGAAGGCGGGTTAGAGGCCGGGCGGTATGGCTGTGGCAGCCCTTAATTTAGTTGCATTCAAATAAAGGTTGTCGCGCACTTCGGTAGCTAACATTGTGCGCCCCCCCTCCCCGGCCGTCAAGGCAGGGGGTAGCGAGGGGAATGGCACGGCCCTCTCATTCCCGGAACATAGTCGATCTCCGCTTAGCGGATTTCACAGAACACTCTCTGCCTAGCGCCCGCTCCAAGGAGAGTAACTTTCCAGGAAGCTGCCGGCCCCCGACGGCCGCCAGGATCGCTGCCTGCGCGACGCGGCCCGCCGGGGATTCACCGAGGAGGGGGGCCGCCCAGGAAGGCTCTCGGGGAACAGGGTACACTTTCCCCTAAATCACTCGGGCGCGCGAGGTCGAGGGCTCTGAGTTCACCCCGTCTCCGCCCCTCCCCCAGACACACACACACACACACACACACACACACACACGCAATTTATAGATAGGGAAAGTTAGTAGCAAAACCGAATATAGAACCCTGGAGTTTGGACGCCATCCTAGGTTCATTTCGGGACCAGCTTGCCCAAGTCTGGCATAAACCGGGTGCCTCTCTTCCCCCTCCTCTCTCCTTGCTCATCCCTTGCTACCCCCTCCCCCACTCTTTAAAGAGACGGATTAGGCAAGAAGTCAAGGTCAAAACTCTGAACACCCTAAGGATGAGTCCCGAGCAACGCAGTGGAGTTGGAGGAAAAATAAAACGAAACCCCTTCCGCCTACGTCGGCAAAGCCGGGGAACCCAGATCAGCTCGGTTTCCGCTCAACATCTTTAGAATCGCAGCCACCAGAAGGAATCTGGCAGGGTCTCGGGATTTCGGAATCCGGTTTCCGTGAAACCACAGACAGGGATTTCGGACTCGGGAGAGGACCGGGCACCGAGTGCGTGTGCACTGGCGCTCTCCAAAGTTACATCTCCTTCCCAGGAAGCAACCCCCCTCCCCGCCCCCAGTGCCATCTCCGCCTAACTTTCTGCTATAGCCGGGTCCAGAAGACGATTTGGAGGGGTTAGTGGGAGTGGGGATAGGGGCGACAGTCTCAACTCCAGTAGCCTCAGTCTAGTCCTAAAACGAGGGAGCGGCATCTCACGCACCCTGATCGCCTCTTCTGCGGCGCAGGCGGGGTCAGGTCTATTCCCAAAGGCTGGGGCCTGAGGCAACAACAAACTATTTTTGTGGCTTTCTTTTTCCTTCTCCCGATAGGATACAGTCGGAAAAGGAGACGGAGATTTTAATTCGGGATAGGGACGACAGTCAGAGCAATTAAAATTAAGTAAATATATTTATTGTAAAGTAAACTCGTGGCTCAGGGACTCAAATCTCGTCGTGTTTTTACCACTGCCTAACGCTAGAGAGAGCCCTCGGTCAAGGCCTGAAACCCACAAGCCGTCCTCGACCGGCCCCTCCTCCTCGCTGACCTAGTTTGGCTCCAGTCTCTGGATTTGGAGAACGCCTTGACCCCTTCCCTCTGTCCCCTCTATCCAGGCCGGATTTTCATTATTCGATTATAGGCAGTCTGACAACTCCAGTAAATCGCTGAAAAGTCCGCATGAGTACCTGAAAGCGCAAAGCACTCTTCAGGGCCAGGGACAAGGAATTTTAATAAGGCTGGGACTGCTGCAAAGAAACTGGCGCCTGGACCCCCACCGGATCGGTCCCTTTCCCAACAGAGTCTAGCTAAGGAGCCCTTAGGGTCCACCCACCCTGGTCTGGTGATAGGGGTTAGGATCACACCGCGCGGTGGGAAAGGGACACTCCTTCCTGCTCTTGGCTGGAGAGTGGGGGAGGCCACGGTAGATAAAAAAGCAGTGTTGGACAGCATCATGACCTCAGCACCTGCCTTGTGTGACCGAGCATTCTAGGACATTGTGTCCTGACTTTCAATTCTGTCACGGTTCTTGCCAGCAGCTCTGCTCTCGCAAGCCTGCAAGCTTCTAGGAAATGCAATAAAATAGAGGGATGTGTTTTATCGTCAAGATCTGAAGAGGAGCAGCAAAGGGGCGCTCCCCGTGCGGCCAGAAGGCCGGAAGCTCGCCTGACACAGCTCTCCTGGCCATCCTGGTTGGACCGGCTCGGTCTTTACAAAAGGCTGGCAGGAGAGGCAAGAGGCATGATCTCCCCAAGCGAACAATGCCTTTTAAATTTGATCTGGACAGAAGTCAGCCAAGGTCTTTATTCACGTTAATGAAGATGGAAGGCACTAACTGTCCTTGGAAAGCGATGAGTCAAACCTCACCGCGCTTCAAACGCGTCCCCAGATCTGTTTCCAGTTCGGGGAGAGGCGCATTTCTCTGACGCGTCCTCCGAGAGGACGCAGTGGGAGAGGCTGAACTCGATTCGGGCGGACCTGGGCGGGGAGACCGCGGCATCCTCGCCGGGCGATCGCGCGCGGCGCCGCTAGAGGCCGCCAGCACGCCGACGCGCCTTTGCAGTCCTAAAAGCTCTAAGCAAGAAAACTTTACTGAGATGTGGCACGAATTCTGGGGAGGTTATCCTCCGCCCGGCCACTCCCTTCCACACATGGACATACACACACCCGGCTCCTAGCCAGGCCACTAAGCACTGGACAGAGAAATTTTCAGGGTGCAAATGTGAGCTCAAGCACGGGGCAGAAGCCACTATCCCGCAGTGGTGCACCTCGAGGCCTGGAGACACCTCACTCTTCAGCACCACTGTAAACTTTTCATGTCTATTGCGGAAAACCTTGGCTATGCTTTCTAAATTAATTTCTCCACTTCCGCTAGGAGGTCTTTCCAATATTCACTAGCCACTATGGTAACCTACGAGGTCAAAAATCAGGGCTAGGACTGCTGCTCTTTTCTCATAGATATTCAAAGGAGCTGACACAAACAGGCCTTTGGCTTGTCACTGCCCAGGAATTCCCAAGTTTATAATCTGGTTCTGGTTAGGTCACTAACTCACCACTCAGAGGACCCCTAATCGTGCCTGTTTCTCCCACTGCAAAAGAGTTTAAGTTCTCACGACTCTGAGCTTTGGATGGCAGCATCCTTTTGCCCCTTTCCCTGGGCAGAGAGCACAGCGACAAATACAGGATCTTCTCAAAGAGGACTGTTTCCCTTAGCTGAGATAGATGCGGGATTGCTGAGATTGCGCAGTGGGCCGGGCATCCAGAACCCTTAATTTTTTTCTGTCTTGTCAAAACTTTGGTGGCTGGACGCTATCCCCTTTGGACAGCGCTCCCAAGGTCAATCCCAATGTCTGATGAGTAGACCAGACCGGGAGGCCCAGAGATGGAAAAGTCCGGCCCTCCGCCTGGGAGGGGATCTTGACCATGACCCACCACTAGGTGGCGGACTCAGTCCGTTCGAGAATCAACGTTTGGCCAAAGCCTTCGCACCCGATCCCCAACCCGCTTTTTTTTTTTTTTTTCGTCTTCTGTCCATTGCGGGTGGGGGTGTGGTTGCTTCCCAAACCAAAGCTGGAAAACATTTAATTTAGTGGATATCATTCCCTTCTTCTGGAGGCTCACGTCTCTAGCAACCACAACGAAGAATCTGGGAGCTGCTTTCACGTATTTTACGGTATTTTTGTTGTTGTTCTTTTCCTCCCAAGAGCTGAATGTACTGGAAAAAGAAAGACGCACTTGTCTTCAAAAAGCAGAATAGCAGCACTCGAAGATATTAAAAGAGACCGCTGCCAGACACTGGGCTGCTGGCAAGAAAAAAGGAAAGGAAAAAGAAAAAGAGAATGAACTTTTGGTCCCCACGGAAGAAAGCGGGGGAGGGGGCAAGAACCGGGCCCCACCCGGACTTGCGCGCCCGCCAGAGCGCAGGCGTGCGGAGGGTCGGTCTGTCTGAGGCTGGGCCGGCGGGGCGGCAGCAGCTCGGGGCTCCCGCGGGGCGCGGGGAACACTGCCGCGCTGCGCCGCGCCGCACGCGCGCTCACTTGTTGCGCAGTGCAGGAAAATCCAGCTCGCAGCGCACTCTTTGGACTCCCAGAGCGCTGCAGGTCTGTCCAGCACTCTCCACACCATCCACAGACCCGGCCCTCGCCACCGCCGATGCCGAAATGACCGCACTTCCATCCATGACTATGTTTAAAAAAAAAATAAAAAAAATAAAATTTCTTCCTTAGTTCTACATCGGAGTGGAAGCAGAATCCACAGGCCTGAGAAATCCAAAAGAAAGACTAGCTACCACCGTCTGGAAACTTAAGTCTACTCAAGTCCAACAGGGCGCCCAGTCTTGCGCCCCCTCCCCTAAATCATCGGACCCGCGTTGCCTAGTATGACGCCATCCCTAGCTGAAAAGCAGCGTTTTCTTCCCTACTGAAGAGATCAGCTTCAAAGTATTTTTTTAAAAGTTGGTTTTATCTTCCTTAATTTTTTTTTTTTTTTTTTAAATCTGGCCAGGGGAATAATGTCTGATTAAGGTCATTACAGTTATTACTATTTTTTTGTCTTTGACTTTTTCCAGTAGTTTCACTCACCGAGGGGTGGCGCTGCCGCACCACCACCTCTGAAACTCTGAATAGTTTTTTTCACAACCAAGTAGGTTGTGAGTGTGGCTACCCAGCAGGAGATAGAGGGAAGGAAGGATTTTGACATCTAGTCATGGCTACCATTTACCCAACCCATAACTAGAACTCTTCAAGGACTCAGCAAACGACAGTTTAAACGTTTAAGAGTTCCATCCCTGTGCACCAAAACCCAGAATAAATTAGTCTTTTCCAGAAAGCTTTAAAGGTTAAAAACCCTTTAAAACTGAGCAAGAGAGGGAAAACACAAGTGGAGAAGCCCTGCTTTGTCTGGCCGTCTCCTCCTTAAAGTCGCCTGTTTCACAGAATAGCATCAGCTTTGTTGTCAGTATCAGCAGACCCTTAAAATCAGCCAATGCTCAAGCCTGCGGTAGGAAAATGTTCCAAATAGGATACTAGAAGCTTCTATTTATAAACTTGGGGGGGGGATTCCCCATCTACAGGTTTCTATTTTGGCCTAACGCCTCAATTATAGTCATTTTAGCAAGAGAATACCCATTCCTGGCTGGCTTTCTCCATCCCTCCTCCACTAGAGACAAACAGCATTTCTTCTTTCAGAACTCTAGCATATATTTTAAAGAACGTGATTTCACCTTGCTCTTTTGAGCTCATGTTTGCTACCTCCAGGAACAGCATGTGGACCAGGGCCAGATACACTTCAGCTTGGGCTGCAGATGTATGAGGTTCTGTTTTAGTGCCAAAGGCTCTTGGTAGTAAATACTGAGCAAAACAGATACCTGTCTCCTGATAGTCTCTGTCTGTCTCTCTGTCTTTGTCTCTCTGTCTCTGTCTCTCTGTCTCTGTCTCTGTCTCT